TTTTTCATAAATTCAAAGAGGCAAACTAATGGATTTCCTACTAGCATAAAATATGATGCTTTAATGTCTGATAATACGGAAGATACTTGCAACCTTTTCGCTCAACTTTTTCAGAAGGTTTACACAAAACATAATACTTCTACGTTTCCCATCTTTACCCATACTGAATTACCAACAATTAGTTCTTTTGAAATCTCTGCAAATGATGTTCGCCTCGCAATTTCGAACTTGAATTCAAGCTCTAAGGTAGATACTGAAGGATTTTCTCTTGTGTTTTTCAAAAACTGCGCTGACTGCTTAGCTAACCCTATTGCACTGCTTTTCCAGAAATGCTTAAAAAGTGGATATTTTCTTGAGCCTTGGAAATTATGTTCAATAGTCCCTATATTCAAATCTGGTGACCGTAATGACATTTGTAATTATAGACCAGTTGTTAAGCAGAGCACCATGGCTAAACTATTTGATTTCATACTCCATCAAAAGTTATTTGATCATTTAAGCAGTGCTATTGTGGATTGCCAACACGGATTTTATCCTGGTAGATCAACGTGTACTAATATAGCTTTAGTAACAAATGAGGTAGTTCAAGCTTTTGAAAATCGCTCTCAGCTTGATGTAATTTACACAGACTTCTCTAAGGCATTTGACAAAATCAATCACTCATTGTTAGTGCATAAATTACAGGCCTACGGTATCACTGGTACACTTTTAAAGTTTCTAACTTGCTTCTTACGTGGAAGGAAGCTTGTTGTTACAATTGGGTCTACGAAATCAAGTTTGCTTGTTAATGTCTGGTCAGGAATCCCACAAGGGACTCATTGTGGACCTCTCTTGTTCCTTATATTCATTAATGACTTGCCGTATCAATTTAAATTCGCTAAGTGTTTAATGTTCGCTGACGATGTTAAATTATTTCTTAGAGTTTGAGACCTGTCGGACTGTGCTAAACTTCAACGTGATCTTAATAGTTTTGAAGAATGGTGCACCATGAATAGCTTGTTTTTAAACGGGAATAAATGTTTTATTGTAACATATTCAAGAATTGATAACACCATTCAATTTAATTACAAATTGAATGACTTTGATTTATTCCGCACCTTTGAGATGAAGGATTTAGGTGCTTACTTTGACTCGAAGCTCACCTTCTCTAAGCACGTTGACTTTATTATTGCCAAATCATTTGCCATGATTGGTTTCATAAGGAGGAACTCTGAGGACTTTAAAGATCCTTTGACTTTGAAGTCGCTCTATGTTTCGTTGGTAAGAAGTAGACTTGAATACTGCTCATTCATTTGGAATCCGTACTACGATACTCATTCAGCAAAAATCGAAAAGGTTCAAAGAGTGTTCACTAAAATAGCTTATTTCAAACTAAATTGGCAGAATGGCCTTGCATCATATACTGCCAGACGTAAGTTGATGGGGCTCCAAACTCTTCATGAAAGAAGAATTTGTTCGTCCCTTATTTTTGCATATAATGTCATGAATGAGTACATCAATTGTCCATTGTTAGCCAGTTTATTCAAATTTTATATTCCACCGCGAGATTTGAAATAGGTTACTTGTCAACTCGGTTCATAGAACTAGTTATGCGTTCTAAGAGCCAATCAGTAGATCAATTCGGCTATGTAACAGATATTATGAAGATCTCGATTTTAGTGCAAGTTTGGATAGATTTAAGCTCCAATTATTTTCTATTTTTAATTAATTAATTAGTCTGTAAGAAGCATTTGACTTTGTAGACTGTAAATAAATAAATAAATAAATAAATAAATAAATAAATAAATAAATTTATTTTCACTCATGAATTTCAATATCTAGGAAGGCTATTTTGTTATCTATTTCCTTTTCCAGTGTGAATTGTACTTTTGTATGCTGTCGATTAAATATTTTCAGAATCTCTTCCACGTCCTTTGTCTTAACAATAGCGAATATATCATCTAAATATTTAGTAATGTATTTGATACATATGTCCTTATTTCTTATCTCGATAATGCTGTCGTCAATAATTTTGTCTAAAACAATGTCAGCTATAGTGGGCGATAAAGGGTTACCCATCGGCATACCAAACACTTGCTGGTAAAAGGTTCCATCGTAGACGAAGTAGTTGTTTTCCCTCAGACAAAATTCTAATATTGTTAGGAATTGTTTTTTGGTTATTGTTGTATGCTTTTCTAGACTTGACCACTGCTTCATTATTGTGTTAATCGCCAATTGGATGGGTATATTCGTGAATAAAGATACGACGTCCAGGGATATAAGCATTTCATCATCATCAACAGTTATGTTTTTAATATTTTCCTTGAGTTGAAATGAGTTTTTCACGTTAAAGTTTTCAGAAACGATATTTTTAAGGGTCTGCCCCACATATTTTGCCAGTTTGAAGCATACATTCATAGGTGATGAAATTGGTCGAAGAGGTGGATTTTGGTTAAGCCATAGAGTCTTGGTGCTGTAGCTGCCGTGCATGTCAAGTATTGTTTAAGTTTAAAGTCAATGCTTTTTTTTTTGTAGATGTCATTCACCAAATTGTTATTTTTCCTTAAAAGCTGTTGGGTCGGGTCAATTCTGATAGCCTTATATGTGCATTTGTCATTTAAGAGGTCTTTCATTTTTTTTTTTGTTGGTAATCTGCCTTATATATCATTACTGTCCTGTTACCCTTGTCCGCATTCGTAATGATTATGGAATCCTTGTGTTTCTGAATAAATCTTCTTGTTTCTTCGTAAATTTTAAGTATAAACTTTTCTTTTGGACTATTTTTTAATTTGCTTTTAAACGTGTTAACCTTTGTTGTAAAATTGCTTCTCACCATATCTTTTTGTCTATCGTCTTCCATCGTTTGTATGCTTTGTTCAATATCCGCTATTAAATGTATAGGTGAGAATGTTTTCCTAGAAACAGGTAACAGGCAAAATTGCTTCTCACCATATCTTTTTGTCTATCGTCTTCCATCGTTTGTATGCTTTGTTCAATAACCGCTACTAAAAGTATAGGTGAGAAAGTTTTCCTAGAAACAGGTAGAGCGAACTTAATTCCGATAGGTCGATCTTCC